ATGAATTAAATTTTATTTACTTTAAAAAATAATAAAATTATTAATATTTTTATTTTTTATTCTTCTTTTCTAAATTTTAAGAAATATTTATTTATAATTAGGAAAAATAATTTGTCTGAAGGAGAAAAGAATACAATCTAAGATTAATTAAGAAATACTTTGAAGAATGCAAAAGAAATCATTGTTAAAGTTTGATAATATTTTAGATTTTATGTTATAATTAAATAATGAATGTTATGAATTAATTAATAAATTATATGTTAATTTAAATTTAAGAAAAGATTTTAATATATTATTTTAATCACATACTTAATTTATATTGCATCTAAATTGATATAATTATATAAGCAGCTATTATTAAAAAATATATCTATTCTTTTTATTTTTAAAAATTCTTCAATTATTATTTTTTATACCTTAAAATATTTGTATTAAATCAAGTAAAATTGAAGATCAAAGACCTTTAATTAATTATTAATTATAATAAATAATTTGCTCCCCAATTTTAAATTTTCACTTCAAAGATTTAGAAAATAAGGTAAAATTTAAAGATCAATAGATATATTATCATCAATAATTCAAATTACAATAAATAATGGTATACTTTAAATAGAAAAAATATTACAATTAAAATTAAAATAAACATTAAAAGATAAACAAAATTATAGCTTTGAAGAAAGACTTTTTAAACTTAGAGAGCATAATTAAAAATAAATGAAATTAGACAATTTAAAATCTAAAATTTTAAAATGAGAAAAAAAATAATGTTTTTTTTTCTTATTTTTTTAATATTTTTTTATAAAAAATTATTTTCTATTTTAAATCTACTAACGCAGCTCTTTATAGATTCTTCTTATTTTATAGATTAAGAATTTATTAGTTTTATTAGCATTTTCATTTTTTCTATTTCACTTATCTATCTATTTTAATTAAATAAAATTCTGTTAGTTTCTTATTGGTCAAAATTTAATTTAAACAAAATAAAACACTTTTATTTTTTTCTTTTTAATTTAAAAAGGAAAAAACTTTTTCATCTTATAATAATTAATTAATTAATTAAAAAATATCTTTTTGAAGAAAAAAAAGAAAAAGCATTTATTAAGAAAAAATAAAATGGATCAAATATAAAATAGCAATATTTTTGATAATAATTTCAATGAAATGTTTATCTTAAATAATTATAGATAAAAATGCAATATTCATGATCAAAGGTTGGATATTTTGTAAGTAGATAACTACTCAAATGAACAAATGCTCAAGTGCATATATTGTCTATAAGGTCAATTAATTAAATTTCTTCCTCTGAAATGTGTACTTGATGGTTCAACCTTCTTTAAAGGATGGCCCATATTGGATGACTCAAAGATCTATGAATAACTTATGCAAATGCCTAAAAAAGATGAATTATTAAATTAATACCTCGAAGTTGTTCAAAATTTTTACAAGCTTTTCAAACATGAAATTAATTTACTGATTGACAAGAAGGAAAAAGATTCATTAATGAATATCTAAAAGAGATACGATAGTTTTGAATATCCATTGGATTTATACAATAGAATTTCTTAAAAAGAAAAACTTAAAGATATCATACTCAATTAATACCAAGACTTTGACAATTAAAATAAAGCATTTTCTCAAATTGTAAAAGAAAACCTTGAAAAACAAGAAGTTTATAAGGAATAAATGCATAATTCTCTTGAAACACTTAAAAATTATAAAGTAGATTTGGTTTCTCAAAACTAAACAAAGGATTAAATTATTCAGCTTATCAATTAAATTAACGATTTTTCAATAGCCTAAGAAAATAGGAATATCTTGCAGGTTTCACAGAATTCACATGATTAAAGAAATAGTTAAATAAATTAGATTGAGTTAGAAGTATTAGAGATGCCAAAAGTTGTTTCAAATAATATGATTGCAGTATCATAAAACATTTAACTAGCTTAAAACAAAAAAATTTAAATTTTCTCACTCTAAGATCTCGACAAAATTTAAAATTTCTAAAATATAGAATTGCATTTTAGGTAATTTAATTTAATTATTTAATTATTTCAAATTCATTTATGAGAAACTAAATTTTATAAAAATCATATTTTTTCTATATTTTTCCCCCTTAATTTATTTATCATATTAGAGAAATTTAATAGAAAAAAAAATATAAAATTTTTTAAATTTATTTATTTTCTTTAAAAAAATTTTTTATTAAGTTAAAGTTGATAAAATAAATAAATAAATAAAATTAAATGCAAATAAATTTTTAGACAATTAATTTTTATTTTATATATTATTTTGCTTGTTTAAAAATAAAATTAATTTTTTAACTTGAAATTAAATAAAATGCTAAATTTTTTAAAGAAAAATACTTTATTCTTTTGTTTTTATAGTATATTTTCAATCAATATATCTAATTTAGTAAAAAATACTTCATGTATATGAGTCTTCTTTAAAAAAAGACTTTATTTTTTTTAATAACCATACCTTGAAACTGAAAATTTATAATATTTGGAGTTAAATAGTAATATCTTAATCTTATGATAAAAACAAAAAAATTTAATTTAGCTTTGTAAAATTACTATTCAAATAAATAAATATTCTTTATCATTTTTATTTATTTTACTATTTATTTATTGTTAATTTGATTTTAAATCTTTAAATTTTTATATTTTTAATTTTTTATCAAATTATTTATTTCAAAGTCAATTATTTCTTAGATTTATTTTTTAAAAATCGATTACTCCTAGAAATTTCTCATTTTAAAAGATGAATAAATATGCTTCCATTTTTATTATTTGGTTTTTAAATAAACCTATCTCTTATTAATTAGGAACAAAAATATTCAAGATGAATAACTTAAATAAATAGCTGGTGCTTTAGAAAAGTGTTAGAATATTTCAAGTCTAATTTTAGATTTAGGGTATTGAATTAATTTTATTATATTTACTTTTAAAATATTCCTTTATATTTTTATTAAATCTTTTTTAATTTAATTTTGTTGTTAATTAGTCAGAATAATTTTAAATTAGAAGGTGTTTAATATTTTGCTACATCTTTACAAAAATGCCATCAAATAAATAGCTTAACACTATCTTTAAAGTAATTAATTAATCTTATATTTAATATTTCTTAATTAATTTTCATTTTATCTGTATTATAATTAGACATTTAAATTATTTTATATATTATTATTATATATATAGTACCCTAAGGTACTGCCTTTTTTCAAGGCTACATACACGAATATTAATAAGATTTATATTTAATTTTTGGAAATTATATTGAGTGAAAGTTTGTTTTTTGTTTAAGTTATTTCTAATAAATATATTTATTATTTTTTTTATTAAATATTTTTTTATTTTATTTTGTTTATTAATTAATTAGGTAGAATAATTTAAAATTAGAAGGTGCTAAATATATTGCTACATCTTTAGAAAAACTTCATAAAATGAACAGTCTAAAGCTATATCTAAAGTAATTAATTAATCTTTTTATTTTTAATTTTCTTTAATTTTATATATTTTTTATATTTGTATTTAATATTTCTTAATTTATTTTAATTTGATTTGAATTATAATTATAAATTTACATTATTTTATATTTTATTATTAATTAGCAATAATAGTTTAAATTTAGAAGCAGTTCAATAGATTACATAATCATTATAAAACTATTAGAATCTTACTCAGTTAACTCTTTATCTTGGGTAATTATTTTTTATATTTAATATCATTTATTTAATTTTTATATTTTACATTTTTCTATATTTAAATTAATTTAATTTATTTATTTGTTAGGTCAAATAATTTAAATGAAGAAGCAGCAAAATATCTAGCTTAATTATTACTAAAATCTTAAAATCTTACATCTTTAGAATTAGACCTTTAGTAATTGATTCTTTTAATATTATTATTTTTTATAAAATATTTTTTTATAATTTAAAAAAATTAAATTAATTAATTAATTTGTTCTTTTATCCTAGTAATAATAATATTGGGTATCAAGGAGCAAATCTAATTGCACTTTCTCTAAAAAATAATTAGAAAATCACTTATCTACGTCTAAATTTTTAGTAATTAATTTTTAAAATTTAATGTAGGAATTAATACTATTTTGTAATTTATTTATAATCTTAAATTTATTTTATTTTTTTCAAAATTTATAAAATTTATTTTGATAGCTTATAAATGATTAAATTATTTGATAATTTAAAATATATTTGCTAAACAAGCTCTCATTTTCTTAAAAAAAATTTAATTAAGTTAAAAATTAGAATTAAGGATATAATTAATTTATATTTTTCATTTTAAAAAATATTTTATAGTAATAGAATTTCTTTAACTTGAAATATTTGTTTACACCAACCATATAAAAATTTAAATATTAAAAAATTTAGATTAGTAGATTTATAAGAATATAATATTTTTTGTTTTTTAGTTTAAAAAGTAAGGTATGTATATTTAATCAATTAATATCAAACTAAATAATATCAAATTATTATTTAGCTTAAATGATAGAGGATAATTAAAAATTAAACAAGTTTTAGTAATTAAGTATTAAAATAGCTTTAAAATAAAAATTTTGTATTATTTTAAAAAATATGAATTAATACTAAGATATAAAGCAAAGCAATATTAAATATTAGAGAGCAGCTAGCAAATAAGAACCAGAAAAGTTATTCTTATTCAAAAACTCAAAGAGAATATTTAAAAATTTCATACTGAATTTGTTTGTTCTTGTAATTATTTTAAAGGATTTTTAAAAAGATAAAAGTATACTTTAAGGAAAGCTAGCTAGCTATATAACATACAGGTTATTCATAAATTTCTTCAAATAATTAATAGAAAATGCAAGATTTCATTCTATTAATGAAAAAATATAAATCTTTAATAAATATTTTTTATTAATTTATTTTTTATTTTTTCATAATTCTCAAAAATCACTAAAATAAATCCTCTAACTAGCAAAATTTCTCTCAAAAATTTGCGAATTATATGGTTACCAGTTAGATTTTAATTTATGATAAAATAATAATGTAAATTTATATGTGAATCAACTTCTTCATTTATTGATATTGCTTTAATATGAATATTTCGTTTAAATGGAAGAGGATGCCTAATAAAAAAAACTAATTTATTTCTAAACAAAAAATAAATTATTTACAATTAGATTAATAATATATCAATCAATAAATCACACTTACTAACTAACTAACTTACTTACTTAACTTAATTTTTAGTTAATTGTGTTTATATTAAAAACAAATATATTAATTAATTAATTCATAAACATATAAATAAATTCTTATTTTTTGATTGATAAAAAATAATTTTGAAATATTAAATATTTGGTATTATTTTATACATTTTTAATTTTTAATAGAAATAAAATCAATTAATATTTTTATGTACATCCAAATTTTTCATTAAAAATTTTAATAAAATAAATTATTGAGAAATAGAGTAAGTAATTAATTAATTAAATTATTCATTATTATTTTTATGTAATTAGGACAAATAATATCCAAGATCAAGGAGCTATCGCAATTGTATAGTCTTTAGAATCTTGTTAGAATATTAATTAATTAAAGCTATATCTTGGGTAATTCATTTATTAATTAATAATATTTTTGTCTATTTTAATTATTTACTTTATCTATCTTTATTTCATAAGTAAATATCAATTTTATTATTATTGCATTTTAAGCTGAAACATATTTATTTATTTATTTCTTTATTTATTTTTTAGACAGAATAATCTTCAGTTAGAAGGAATCAGATAAATTTCAGAATCTTTAAAAAAATATCAGAATACTACTCATTTAACTCTATGCGTTTCGTAATTTATTTTTTATATTTTCTAATTTTTTTATTATTATTTTAATAAACTTTAATTTTAATTAATTTATTAATTAATATTTATTAGTTACACTAACATAAAACAAGAGGGAATTATGTTAATTCTATCAGCTTTGCAAAAGTGCCAGAAAATCACAAATTTAAATCTTTATCTCAGGTAAAATTAAATATATTTTATAAGGAATTAATTTTTTTTATTTTATTAAAAATAATATTAAAATTATTTTTATATCTCATTCTCAATACATTTATCTTAATTTTAATTATTTAATTTAATAGTCAGTCTAATGTTAATCTTGATTTAGCTAAAATAATAGCTTCAGCTTTAGAAAAGTGTTAGAATATCACTAATTTAACTCTAATTCTTAGGTATTTAATTTATGAAGCAATTAATATAATTATTTAATCAATCATTTTTATTTATTTTTAAAATAATTTAACTCTTGTTATTTTTATTTTATTTTATTCTTCTTTTCTAATAATTAATGAATATTTATTTATTATTAGGCAAAATAATTTATCTTAAGGAGAATAGAAAGTAATCTATGATTAATTGAAAAATACTTTGAAGAACGCAAAAGAAATTACTGTAGAAATTTGATATTATTTGATATTTTATGTTATCTATAAATCTAAGATAAAATGTATGTTATGAATTTATTAATTAATTTTATGTTGTAATTTCAATTTAAGATAAATTTTAAAAATATTTAAATTAATAATTAATTAATTCGAGAGAAGCCAAATAAATAGTACTTTATTAAAATTCATTCACTTTTTCCAAAATATTTTAAGAATAATGATACATTAATATAAATGATATATTTAAGTAATATAGCATCCAAATGAATATAGTTAGTTATATTTATTTTTTTAAATAGCAGTATTATTAAAAAAAAAATCTATTATTTTGTTTATTTAAAAGGT